TTAATCTGAAATAAATAATTTATAAGAAAGATCCAGATATTTTATTGGACACTAAATTTTTCTTCTTCCAATTCATTTGATTGTAAAAATGTCATCTAATTATTTACTGTCAATCAGTGGCACGTGCCCTAGTAATAAACAAAAAAAAAATAACTTACATATTTTATATTTTCCTCAATGCCTATTATTATTATTTTATCTAATATTCAGCGCAAACCACGTTGGCACGACACTGGACGACCGGGCGTTGAGCGACGTTCCGAAGATGGGCACAGGGCACAGTAAATGTGTGCCTCTGTTGTTTTCTCTCTCATTATGTTGCGAAAAACATGGACAACGACAATATCGCTTAGCAAGAGATGAACACATGCGATGGATTATACGTCACAAGCAGGGCGCTGTCCCAGATTAACCTACACCAGATACGAATGTACGCGGCGGCAATAGCCTAGAGCTCCCACCATTTTCTTCCTAGAACCAGCGGAAGAAATAGTACGGACGATTGCGTTGGCTCTAGTTTCAGCAGAGCCTGCGACCGTTGAACGTTTAGTCCGACCGCATAGGTTACAAAACATCGCCGAACTTGTGAATTTGTAAAATTTATTATGACGGGATATAAATTTGTAGATGTTGTACATCTGAAAATAGAGATGGGACAAAATTTTAATTTTTCTTTTGATTTTGTCTGACTTTTTCGAGGATTTCAAATCTCTGTTTGCATATTTAAGAGTATAAAAAATTCTGAGTCTTATAAATAATTTAACGGTGTACATTTTCGCAAATTGTTGGCAAGGATGACCAAATTCTATTTTGCTCATCTCAAAAAGGTATGCGTTGGAAATTCCAGGCTTAGTTGAAAACTATCAAATAGAGATATAACTATTTTTTCTAATTTGAAAATATAAAAGAGAAATTTTTCGCTGGGAGATTTTAAATTGCCAAACACCTTTTCTTCAGATTCATATGCTTTAAAATGCGTTAACAAGTTAGAATTGTTAAGTAAATTGCATTCTTCTGAGAAATTTACCCAAATTTCGCAAGAGTGGATATGTAATGATTTTTTGATTAAATAGCCCACATACATAGTTAAATGCATTTTGAGTGGTCACATTTAGCTCCCTGTAGTCACATTCAGAAATCATTATTGCCCCAACTGATTGTTTTGAAATATATTTAATTTTCATTAATTACCTAAGGGAAAAACGAATCCCGGGATCCCTTTCCAGTGTGTGCCTCACTGCCGTTAGTGCCCACAAGCCGCCACTGCTGTCAATTCATATCATTTCCTAAGTAGTATACAAAGCTTAAAATAAAGTAAAATTAGTAATTGAATACAAAAAATACTTTAAAAACGCTAAAAATGAAGCACAGTGCCACTCGCAGACGAATTTGAGTTCTTTTAAGAGCTACCTGACTGCCTTAAAATGTCGCACTCAGGGTGCGGACAACACTTATTGTAGTTTAAACATAGTTGGTTCGATGTTGTTTAATGTAGAACAGAGAAATATGAGTCAGATAAAAGATGATCTTTTCTAAAAGAATCTCACACGACATCATTCACTGAGTAGTTTAAAAAAGAACAAAAGAAATTATTTCCTTCTTGCTTCAAGTAACTGAATGTTACATAATTGAAAACGTGTTTCGTTTGAAGTATTCAATTCTGTTAATATGGCCTGTAGATAGGCATCCAGAGTACAGCACAGTATTCAAGAATGATTTGAATAAAATAACTATAAAGGCCATATATTGGTATAAATATGAGTAGTTTGGCGTTATATGTATGAAGCTGGGCATTCTAAACGCCATACGATAGAGTCACATGTTGGTTAAATGTCAGACCAGTGTCAAGGATGATACCAAGATCACCAATGCATTATCTACTTTATAAACATTTGCTACCATAATTGATTTTGCACCATTTAGATAAATCAGATCTGATTGTTCTTTATTCTAAAATACTTTAGGTCGTCTGCTAACAAAAGATTGCGACTACGAAGCAATTTGTTACAACGTTCATAAAGAATATAAATAAAACGGGACCAATGTGGGAACCTTGAGGAACACCGGACGTAACTGATTTATCTCAAGAGGCTGAATTATAAACCAACACACGCTGAGAGCGTTCTGTTAAGTAAGAGTTGATCCACTTCAGATAGTTACCAGAAAGCTAGCTACTTGAGACAGATCTGTATGTATAGCATCAACTTGATGTCCCGCTTCGACTGATGAAATTAAGTAATCCTGGTTATATAGCAATATTGGTAGCGGTTGAGCGACCTTTATAAAACACATGCTGGCGAGAAGAAATAAAATTTTTAAACGTGGAAAATATCTCATCAGTCAGAATAGATTTAAATAATTTAGGTATAGTAAAAATCATGAGAGATATGTATAAATATGGAAGCAACCCCTACCTATAAGTGTATCTAGAGATGCCACCTGTACGAGTTTCGCCCCGACTGTGCGGTGTCCGGTCGGATGATGAAAATGTCCGGAAATATCTGGATAACTTTAAAAAAGACTTGTTTTTTCAGAAGGATTTATAAAATTATAATGTGAGGACCTCTTTTTTTTTAAATTTTACAAAGGTCCAGGTTTTGAGAAATGAAAAGGTGGCAACCCTAAGTGTATCCCTTTCAAGTAGCGATTTGTTTTGTGACTATCTGGAGCTTGATTTTGATTACTAAATTGTTCAAGACAAGATCCGTTACAAACTTCCCAGTTTTACAGAAGAAGATATTATTTATAATATTGAAATAATAGTTATTAATTAGGTACGTTTGAATTTAGAAAGATTATGCATTTTAAAAAAGCATTTTAGCGATTTCTGTATACCCCTGACACTATATATTACGCACATCAGGTGCCTGGAGTGGTCTGACTCGACAAAAGGTACTACAAGAGGTACCTTTTATCATATTTATCACCAATATCTTAGCGAAACTCGTTTTCTGTCTAGTAGCTAGAGAACTGTAACATCTAGACATACACGGTGACCAGCGCCATCGTCATGAGCTAATATATATACAGGATGACTCAGAGCTATGCTGTATAATAAATAATCTTGTTTTCGAAAACTTTAACGCGGAGTACTACAAGGGTACATTTCAGGGACATTGCATTTTGTGATTTATTTTAATGATCGATGTAACTGTACACGTACACCTAAAGAGCAGAGTAAAACAAAGCATAAATTGCTTATGAACAACGTCGCCGAACCGCGGGGCGGTCTCTCCTCCAAAGTCGTCGCATGGACTTACATGGCCATCATAAGATCTATGTTAACATACGTTGCAGTTGTCTGGGTACAGAAAAGCCAAAAATTGACTGCTATATGCAAACGAGAGCAAATTCAAAGAACATAACACATCACACCAACCAGAATAGAACCTGATGTAGGATGTGGTGAGGCGAGACGTCACTTTTGGCAGGAGGCTCTCTATATGCTTCCACAGCTTCAAGTGAACATGAACTCCATCTCATCGAGATAATATATTTTCCATAAACCATATAAAGTTATAACAGAAGAGCCAGAAGTGGCAGGTACGATTCATATCTACACCGACGGTTCTAAAACAAAACAAGGTTCAGGATGTGGAATATACTCTAGCTCTTTAAACCTAAACATAAATTGGGATGTGAGCAATACTGCCAGTGTAGTTAAAACCGAGCTCACGGGGATTCTCATAGCAGCAAAAGAAGTTACCAGAAACAATATCATTTGAAGGGACATGCTTATCTATACAGATAGCAGACAAGCACTACTCACTCTGAACTGGACAGACCACGAATTTACCCAGTGTTAGTTCTAGAATGTCACGAATCTTTGGCCGAAGTATTCATCAACAATGTGGTCATCCTAAGATGGATCAAAGGTCACGCCACATCGAAAGGTAACCGTCTTGCTGATTCGCCAGTCAAGATGGCAGCCAATCAAATACTTACGACAACATCGGTAGTGACAAACCTAATTAAATACCATTCGCTTTAGAAATTCATAAAAAGATGGGATGAAATAAGAAGCTGCAGAGTTGCCAGGTAGCTTTTAAGTTATTCTAACAACACTACAACATACACAATCTGCGCCTGATCACAGGCATTATCACTGGTCATTGCCAAGTACGGAAGCATCTTCATCGCATTGGGTTGTCAAAGTCAGTACTCTGCAGGAGGTGCAAACAAGAAGATGAGACCGTCGAGAATTACCTCTACGATTGCCTAGCGCTCCCATTTATTAGAAGGTTTGTGTTCGGCTGGAATTGGCTGACACCGGCCGATATAAGAGAGGCACCTCTTGGCGGCGTTGTTAACTGCCTCACATCTGTAGGCTGGCCTAATGCAGCTTATATACCAATGTTTAACCCACTTTCTACACGTTATAGATATAGATACAGATACGGTGTCTTGGAATTATTGAAAGGGATGCTTAATTTAATTCAAATTTTAGTATCAATACACATGTACCTATATGCACTTATACTTTTTATCTATGTATTTTTATTCAATTTAATATTTATTGTATATTATTTGAATTTAAATGCCCATTCTGAGAGAGTCAACAAACTGAAGAAGACGTTATATTTATAGTCGATTAGGATTTAACAATTTTACTTTCAAATTATAATAAATTCATTGCCTTGAATAAATTTTACTGTGTTGTTCACGATTAGATGAATAATAAGTCAAATCGTACATTTAAATTTGAAAGGAAATGAAAGGAAAAACCCTCAGTGAAAAATATTAGAAGAGGTTGAACTTCCATACAAACAATATAGACATACTCGCCATTAATGCTGTTTAGACCTACCACCTACTTTATTGAATTCGGTAATCTATCAGATAAACAAATAGTGTATTCTAGTATTTGATGGTAAAACATTAAAATTTATTACAGAAACTAGGACAGGTAGGTGAAGAAATACGATTGCCCTATCTGTCCCTGGACAAATTGAGGAGTGAAGGGGGACAATGGTAAGAAGGTTGTTGAATGAAAACACTTATCTGTTGTTTATATTTAAAAAAATATAACGCTTTATTTATAAATATTTACATCTTTTACAAATCAATTTTAACTTCGGCGTATCCTTTGGCATTTAATCCAGTGACCCTAAACGTTGCACCATCATGAGGTCCTGCAGTGATGCCAACTTGTCCACTAGTCACATAGAGCTCGTCCAAATTTTCTCCTCCAAAACATACTGAAGAGATCTACAAAAACAAATATTTATACTTAATTGTACATTGTATATACAGTTTGTAGAATGAATTGCATAAAAGTAACAAGTATTACTTCAAAGTTAAGGTACTTTTAGACGGTTATATCACTTCTCTATTCAGTTAGGTCAGTTCAGTTGTGACTTCATTTGTGGAAACGCTGTCTTTTTAGACGATTAGTTTAAGTTTTCGTTTCCATGCACATCAGTGATGGATGAAGATTCCCTAATAGCTGTCGCTTTGTGCTTAGCACTAAAGAACTCACGAAAGAAAAGAACTAAATGGAGCAAAAATTGGCTCCAAAACAGATAATCATTGTCTCATGTAAAATTAATGAAGGAACTTCATTTTGCACCTTGTGATTGGTCAAACTACTTACGAATGAGCGAGGATGCATATCGAGAATTGCTCTGTACTTAGTGACACCAATTATAAAAAAGCGGGACACCAACATAAGAGACGCTATATCACGCTTAGATTTTTATAAGCAATTTATCTTTTATGAGTGTTATGGTAATGATGATCCTTTTTATTCCATAAGCATAGATGTTGTCGGTAAAGATCTATAAATTCTGTCAGAAAGTCATGCTTATTAGACATATTTACTAGTTCTGTCGAAAAATCTTCTATAAATAATGAGCCATGAACGGACAAGTTTGTTTACACATCATTTTAACTGACAACTGAACGTAAAACTTTTGGTCAACCAATCGAGCCACAGCTCCGTGTCAGTTTCAGTCTTTCTTTAATTTTTTTGTCTTTACACATACATATAACTGACAACTGAACTGAAACTAAAACTGAACTGAGAACTGATATGACCGTCTAAAAGGACTTTTTAATTTCTTTTTGAAAATGCTAATTTAATTTAGAAATCGATTGAAGTAAGATCTTGCTGACTAGTCAATTTGTCTTTCTTTCTTTTTCTTCTTCTAATTTATTCACATTATTACACCAGAAGTTCTGAAGACAGATTTAATGAGTTAACCAATTCAAATCTGTATGAAGACCTAATAGCAACGTTTACTTACGATTTTTGCCGGCATTTCAATGGTATCCAACAATGTTTCCGGTTTTCTGGGGTCGATTTTGATTACCTTTGAACCCCAAACTGCAACGTATAGATTACCATCAGTATCAATTGTCATACCGTCAAAGACCATGCCATCCAAGCCGTTCTTGCTGGCTGTGAAGATTGGTTTTCGATTGGCTAAAAAGTATTTTTGTTTATTATTAATGTAAGAAGCGATCCACAATTATTTATCTAAAGTAATTTTGGGTGTTCAATTAACTATATTAATTTATAAACACCATAAAAAGGACTAAAAATCATTGAGGGTCAATAATGAAAGAGAAAATTCTTAAAAGATAACAAATTTGGTTTAAAATATAGCGTTATAATATTTTTTACCTACATAATCGTCCTGATGTTATATCGAAATCGAACTCATCAACTGTACCAGTTCTGGAATCTATGTAATACATCTTTCTTAGCATTGTATTAAAAGCTAACCCGTTGGCAATACCAATGCGTGGTACATGTGGGGTCAATTTTTTCTTCTGGATACTGTACAGGGTTCCCTTTTCCAGTTCTATATCCGAGATTACTACAGGTGGTCCACCCATTGTTCCTATAATACAACAGAGATACTAAAGAAAAATCAAATTATAATTCTTAATGCAGTAACAAAATTGATGAGAGAAAATATAATGAAATCTCAACCCTTCGTTAAACATACCTATCCAAAGTCTTCCAGACGGATCACACTTGCCGTCGTTGAATACATTTTTGGGTTTATCCTCTTCGACTTGTATCAGTTTTTCAACGTTGGAGGGTTTGTCACTTACACCGTCCCATGTTACGATGACCAGCTGTCGCTCCAGACTTATGACGAATTGATTTTTTCTGCCTTTGATCGGTATAATGACCGAAACATTTTTACCTAGAACAAACGGTGTTATTAAATAAACGTTTAAAAAATGTTGAATATTTTTAGGAATTAGAAACAAAAAAACAAATAATTAGAGTATTGATCCTTTGTCCATAGTCTAGGCTTATTTTACACCTCTATAATATTATGTGTATCTGTAACACATGGAGAAAGTGTATTGATCACAGCACTTAGGCCTCACTATACCTCTTAGCTAGTCAACCAGCCTACAGATTTAATGTAGTTTCAGTTAACGTCTCCAAGAGGTGCTTCTTTCGTACTAGACAATGACTAGTCAGACTGCATGTGCTCAGGCGCAAATTCTATCTAGTTATAGTCAGTATTTCTTTGTTGTGATGTTGTTAGGGTAACTTAAAAGCTCCTTGGCAACTCTGCAGCTTCTTGGTTTATCCCAACGTTCCTTAAATTTCACAAGGGAATGTTCTTCAAATACATTTGTCACTGCCGATGTTGTCAGTCCAATGGAAAAGCTAGGTTACTGCTTTCTTGACTAGTGAATGGACAAGATACCTTTCGATGTAGTGTTGATCCATCTTAAGGTGATCGCATTATTGTTGATGGATACTTCGGCCAAAGCTTCGTTATATTCTAGTACTATCCCTAAGTAAATTCGTGGTTTGACCAAGGTAAGTAGTGCTTGTCTGCTATCTGTATAGATCAGCAAGTTTCTTCCAGAGATACTGTTAATAGTAATTTTTTGTTGCTATAAAAATCCCTGCGAGCTCGAAGTATATTCCACATCCAGAACCTTCTTTTTTTCTTGACTATATATCGTTTATGGAAGATATATTGGTAAGATAGAGTCCAAGTTCGCTTGAAGCCGTGGAACTGTATCGAGTGCCTTCCGCCAAAAAGCGACGTCTCGTCCCACCAAATCCTTCATCAGGTTCTATTCCAAACATGTCATTGTCATCAGAGCAACCTCCTTGATGTAAATATCAAAACTAACCGAAGACACAAAATTATTCCAAGAGACATACTTTTCTTTGAATATGTTCTAGTTTTCAACGAGTTGCATTCGTCGTTATGCACTAAGCTTTCATTCTCGATTTTTTTTACTACTTCTGGAGACGTCTCGGTAAGCGACACTGCTTTGGCAGATAAGAAAGGTGTCCCAACAAATAACTACGTCACAGACATCATTTACTTCTTATCCACTTCTCATTGGTTACCGCTATACGCGGCATCCACTTTCATTGGTTAGCGCCACAGGCGTTATACACTCCTTATGGGTCAACGTCATGCGTAACTCTCAAGATGGCTTCTCGACGATCTCTCCGTCAAACAAAACACAGCGTTTTGCGGTGTTAAAAAGGCGACGCTTCGTCCGCCCGCATCATGTAACATATGACTCTTATACATTAAAATTGGCTTCTGTAACAAATTTCTTAGAGAAATACTGTAAATAATGTAAATAATGTTCAGTCTTAAGTGCACCATGTAGAGAAAAATAATATCCCATTACAGTTTAAAATAGAAGGTGATCTTTTAATCCAAGTTCTACATCTCCTAGGCCTATAGATCGGACAGGTATTTTCAAACTTTATTATTACAGTTCATGATTGTGCCAAGGAGGGCTGAACATCGGTCCTAGTTTGTTTTTGGAGCGAATACATCGATAGAAACCTGTATATCGGTCAACCCGCTACAGCTCAGCTCTCAGTTGTTGGGTTTTCGGTACCATAGATGTGCAGGTTGATTAAATTGTTCACCTTTTGAAGTTATTATCTAATGTTGGTTCTACTTTGATTGTGATTTTACAGATATTCTATATATAGATATTTACTATTTATACACCCACTGTCAAAAATAATTTATTATTAAGTTAACACCCCTACAAAGAATTGAGTTATACAGGGTGATTCAAAATTGAGTGCAAAGATTTTAAGTGCGTAGGTATGTATCAGCCAAAAATAAGAAATTTTTTTCATATGTCCTTACTTGCTTCGTTTTCTAGATACAGGGTGTCAAAGTTTTTTAAAAAAATCGGCTTTTTTATCAATTACTCAAAAACCTTTCAGTCGATTTAAATAAAATTTAGTAGGCTCATTTGTCGTCATAAGGGCCTTCCTTTGGTGAGTATAAAATAAATTTATTAATTCCAGTGGCGTCTCAGGGGGCTACCTACTTGATACTTATAGGTAAAATTATGGTACAGCACTGCTTTTTTGACCGTTAAAATTTTTTTTTAGATTAAACGATCAATAATGTAACTTTCTTGTCTCTTGAGCTTTACTCGTATCTAGCTATGTTTCCAAGAAAAAAAAATTAAATCTGTGCCTGACCCTAATAAAACAAGTAAAAAACTAATTACTAAATGATGGAAATTGTCGCCAAATAGGTCTGTCTAAATTTTTATTTGTGTTATGAAATTTAATTCATTATTTATTCCAGTCGCGTCTCAAAGTGTGATTATATTTAATTAATAATTGTTAAAAAGCCAATTTTTTTAAAAAACTTTGACACCCTTTATCTAGAAAAGGAAGCAAGTTAGGACATAAGATTATATGAAATTTTTTTTCTTATTTTTGGCTGGTAAATACGCCCTTAAAATCTATGCACTCAACATAATTATAATATTGAAAGTGATAATTCAAATTAATTAGATTATTGATTTATAGTTTTTAATAATTTATTGTATAAGTTCTATGATAAGAATTTTTCTTTAAGTTATCTCAATGTTTATAAAAGTAACGACAAAGAGCAGCTGTTGAGAAGCCTTGAAAATGTTTTTCGAAAATAATCTAAAAGAATTTTGAGATAATGTTTAAATCTGTATTTGTGTGCAGTATCGGATTAGGCCGTCAGTCTACCGGTCAAAATACCGGTAGGCAGTGGGCCCTTGTTCAGTAAGTGGGCTCTCGGTCAGACAGCGGACCCTTGAAGAAGAACAAACAAAGAATTAAATTCAAGAAACCCCGCAATACGTGAGAGGACCTTTTTTTTAATGAAAATCGGACCATGAACACGGTAAAATAATGGGCCCTTCTCCCTCCTGGAGGTCCCAATCCAACACTGGTTGTGTGCCTATACAGGGTGGGCCACCTAGGTTTTTTCGTATTGATACAAATAAGCGCCCGTACAGGTTGATTTTAGTTTTTTTTCTAATTGTAGCATCGGTACTTCAATTCTCGAGTAGTGAGATGAACAACACTCGCAATTTAAATAGGAGAAAGTACCAAGGATGAAACATCACTTGTGAAAGGCTATTTTTACTCCTTGTGAGCGCAAGGGCGGCTTCAGGAGGTTGGACATTCTTCTAATACGTGATAGCCTTTTATTTAAAAAGTGTGCTAAAAAGGGAATAGCTAATGGCAATACTCCTACCCCAACAAATCGTCCTGGAGCCGTCCTTGCTCGAGCGCCATCTTTGATAGAAATAATCTTTAACATTCTTACGGACATTATTAACTTCGGTGTTCCTAGTTAAAAAGTAATTAATAATTACAATTACTTTTTTCATGTAATTTGTAAGTTATACAACCCGCCCTTAAGATATCTTTAACTTTAAGGAATCCTTAATAAAGTCGTTGGTTTGACACTTTGAAGTACCTACATATTTAAAATGTTTATTTGTACCAGTCCGGTTGGTTCATGGTTCCTCAATTCTATCATAATTTGTTGTTTTACGGCAAAGTAATTAGAAAAATAATTATAAAAGTAATTGCTTATTAATTGTTTCATGTAATTGTAATTAAATCAATATAATTCCTATTTTTACATGTACTTTGTAATTGTAATTATTTTTAAAGTACATGTAATTACCCAGCTCTGATATACAGGGTGTTATTGAAATACACGTACATATTAAAACTGGGTATTGCGCAGAACCCCACTGAATGTAGAAAAATATTATTTTTTAAAAATACCCCTTATTAAGGGAGTTATTAATTTTTGAAAATTAATTCTAAAACAATCGTACTTCACTGATATGTTGAGGATGACCTATATAAATTAGGTTTATTTACCTATTTTAAACATCAACAGTAATTAATATGCAAGTTTTTGTCAGATGATAAGAAAACTAGTCTTGTAAGAAATAACCATGTTGCCAAGATTTTCGAATTAATTGCTATTTCCGAAGACTGGTTTTTACTACCCTCGTTATAAAAAAACTAGAATATTTGATAAATGATTGTTTTTAAACTATACATTTTTGAAACTATAGATTATTAAAATTTTAGTTGATTTACGAATCTGGCTAACACGAGCGCGTCATTTCCAAGTTGGTAAAAAGTGTTGTTACGATTACTTTTAAATATTTTTTTACGATGCCACTATTTACGAATATTGAACTAACGGATATAGTGCTGGTTTATGGGGCAGCTGGAGAAAATTCTCGGCAAGCACAAATCCTGTATCGCGAACGGTTTCCAAATCGGAGAATTCCGGACTGTCGTACGTTTATTTCAACTGTTTAGCATCTAAGAGACCATGGAAAATTTGAGAGTGTCAATGCAGATCGAGGGAGAACAAGAACACAAAGAACATTGGCGGCCGAAGAAGAAATATTGGAAGCTGTTGAAAACCGGCCTCAATTAAGTTGTAGAAGACTAGGTCTTGAAATTGGAGTGTCCTCATTTATTGTGTGGCGGACACTTAAAGAACAAGGTTTACATCCTTATCACATCCAAAAAGTCCAGGCCTTATATCCAGGTGATGAAGAAAAGAGAGTGGAGTTTTGTGAATGGATGATTCAAAAATGTGTTGATATTCCTGATTTTCTAAAAATATTATTGTATACTGACGAGGCTTCATTCACTCGTGATGGCGTGTTCAATGTGCACAATACGCATATTTGGAGTGATGAAAATCCTCACGCCATTAGGGAAACTGGGCATCAAAGAAAATTTTCAATAAATGTTTGGGCTGGCATAATAGATCAGTATTTAATCGGGCCTTATGTTCTCCCGAACAGATTAAATGGGCCAGGATATCTCCACTTTTTAGAAGATATTTTGCCAGTACTCCTAGAAGAGATACCGTTACAATTAAGGCAACGGATGTGGTACCTACTAAATGGCGCTCCTCCTCACTTTGATTTAAACGTACGGCAGTTTTTGAACATTAGATTTCCTCAAAAGTGGATAGGCAGAAATGGACCTACTAAGTGGCCTCCGAGATCTCCGGACTTAAATCCATGCGATTTCTTTTTGTGGGGTCACATGAAACAACTGGTTTATAATGAACCTATTAATAGTGTTGAACAATTAACCAATAAAGTTAATGCGGTAGCCGAGGAACTACGACAAAATCCAAGACTAATTTCTAATGTTCAAAGTTCTTTGGAAAGACGATTGCAAGTGTGTGTAAATAATAATGGACGGCATTTTGAACAATTACTGTAATATACTTTATTTTGAATTAATTGGTTTTGCTACGGCAACAGTGCAATTTCTATGGGTAAGTTCAATTTCGATTTATTTTACTTCTTTAAATATGGAAACTAGTAGGTCGGAAAAGGGGACTCTTCCCCAATATTTAAATTTTAGAATTTGAAGTTAAAATTGGTGCCAGTCGTTTTTGGTCATTACATACTATTCCCCATTTTAATATGTACGTGTATTTCAATAACACCCTGTATAGCCCCCAGAAACTGGGTCAAATTTGCTTGTCCCTCAATTGAATAGGTCCAGCCGAAAGTCTCATCTACAATACCCTGGAACACTTCGCATTCAACATCTCGCAGAAACAGAAACTGCTCATGGCGAATGACCAATTATTATCTTAAGTGTAATTCGCGAAAATTTTTAGCCTCAGCCCATATACTATATCGAAAATTTCCGGTTCAATTCGCGATGATTGAATAAAAAAAACCTTTCATACAAAATTAATGACGGGCTGGTTAGTTTCTTTTACTATCTCCATTCCATTTTTTATTTGAAAGACGTTTTTTGAAGAATTGTTTACGTGGTCGTAGGAAATATAGTGTACACAACTCGTTGAAAATTGTATTTCTAGCACTCGCTCAGCTTACACACTCGGCGCTACGCGGCTTGTGCTAAACTTCAACTCGTGCGAAATATTACACTTTCCACACTTGTTAGGTAATATACTTTTGTTTTCTTACTGTTGCTTTTGGAAATGACAGATTCAATTATTATACAAAGGCTTCAATATTGAATTAAGATAAACAATAAAATGATTTACTTACCTACATGCGCGCTCGTGTGTTTCTTAGTTTTAGGATCATACTTGTTGATGGTATACCCATTTATGTCAACGAAATACAACACTTGGGATTCTTCGTCCCAGAACGGGGCTTCACCCAATTTGAAATTGCCGCACAATTTTTCGATTTTTGGAGCCATTTTTATTGTCGAATGTACAGCAATAAAGTAATTCTAATTATGTAGATATGAAGTTTTATACGTGCATTTTATCAGTTGCTAATACAGGAGCGTATCGAGAGAGTAATGTAATTAAATAATTATAATTATTTATAATAAGAGTAAAATGTATCAGTTTTTAATGATAACAAAATTAATTAGAGCACAATTTGTTAACGATCTCTCTTTTATTTTTGACTGTTTACATCTTTAGTTTTTGAATTGAAAATGCAGATTTCCGTTCTCTTTTGTCTGGTTCAAAACTCTTGTTAAAATTATCTACACCACTGGATGAACATAATGCACTTTGTTTTAAACACAATAGAAAAATTTTAATTTATGTATAGTTATTATTGAATTTTATATTGAGCTGTAAAATGTTACATAATGTGTTAATAATGTTGCATTTATTTACAATTTTTAGTTGAACGATGCCTCATACTAAAAAAATTGTAGGCACCTACCTATAAAAAAAAACTTTTATACCGTAAAATTTTTTTGTACAATCACACATCTAGTCTACTTAAAATTTTAATTAAATGTAATTAATATCTTAGTCTTGAAAATATTAAAAATAAAATGAATCTATTAAACCTGCACTGGTTCGCAAGGACGGCTCCAGAGTGAATTTTTGGAGGGTGCATTAAGAGGTATGACAATAAAATTATAAGATAGTTGTAAAAAATCTACTTTATTTAAAAAATAATACAACTTAATGGTGCTCCCCTTCAATGTACTCTCCTTCCCTATCGACACAGCGTTGCATACGTGTTTTCCACTGTTGGAAGCAATTTTGGCATTCATCGGAAGAGAGGCTGTTGAGAAGTCTTACCATTTTTTCCTTGACCTCTTCTAATGTGTCAAAACGGGTTCCTTTTAACGATTCCTTCACTTTCGGAAACAAGAAGAAGTCGCAAGGGGCCAAGTCTGGTGAATATGGTGGGTGGTTAAGGACAGGGATCTTCTTATCAGCTAAAAACTGCTTAATGGAAATGGCTTTGTAGGCCGTTGCATTGTCCTGGTGAAGCAGCCACGCGTTGTTCTTCCATAAATCTGGACTTTTTTTCCTTACACGTTCCCTTAGTTTCTCTGTTGATATTTATCATTTCTGAGATCATTCTTACACTAAGACGCCTATCCTTTCTAATAATTTCACTAATTTTTGTAACATTTTCGTCGCGAAGTGTAAACTGATAACTGAAACAGACTGAGACTAAAGACCCATTGTGAATATTTAGACGATAAACGTAATAATCTAGAAATTAGCAATAAATATCTAACACATGACAAATGAAAACTTTGAAATTTTGGTGAAACTAAGAAAAATTACAACATTCATTGATGTGCAGACGTACAAACTATTTAGCCCAATTTGACCATGTTCCTGGATGAGAGACATAGAATAGTTGTTCCTCCTTTCCTCTATACTCTATACCACTGTTGTCAGTCTAGTACAATTGTACTAGATCTAGTACATTCCCTGAGAATCTGGTACACTCAAAACAAAATCTAGTACTTTTTTTCAGCGTATGTTCCATTTGAAGTGTAAAAAATATTGTTCAAAAATTGACAAAGAAATTAAAATAGTTGTTAAAAATTGCTCAGAGATAAAATAGTAGACATTTTTCGAGAGAAAACATTGTTCAAAAATTGCACGAGAGATCAAATATTGTTTAAAAATAGCTAGAGAGGTAAAAAAGGGTGTTAAAAAGTGGTGGAAAGATAAAATAGTATTAGAAATTGCTTGAGGGGTAAAATATTGTTCATAAATTATTCTAGGGATAAAAATACTGTCAGAAATTTAATGAGAGATAAAAAATATTTAAAAATTGTTCTAGAGATTAAATAGTATTATAAATTGATAAAATCGTGTTCAAAGATTGCTTGAAGTAAAGTAGTATTACAAAATGTTGAAACCTTGTTTAAAAATTGCTCGAGCGATAAAATACTGTTGAAAAAATTGTTGAGAAATAAAATATTGTTTAAAATTGACTCGAGAGATACTGTTAAACATTTCTCGAGAGATAAAACATTGTTTAAAAATTCCTGGAACGATAAAATACTATAGAAATTGCTCGAGAGATAAAAAAAGTTTTTAAAAATTTATCGAGAGTTAAAATATTGTTATAAATTTATCGAGAGTTAAAATATTGTTATAACATTGTCGAGAGTTAAAATATTGTGCAGTTTGCTAAAAAGATAAAAAAAGTGGTTAAACATTTCTCCAGAGATAGAAATAATTTTTGAAAGGTATCTAAAGATAAAATATTGTTAAAAATAGCTCAAGAGATAAAAAAAAGTTTAAAAATTGTTCGAAAGATAAAATAGTATTATAATTGTTAAAATCTTGTTCAATAATTACTCGAGAATTAAAAAATACTGTTTCTTGAGAGATAAAACATTGTTTAAAAATTGCTAGAAAGATAAAAAATGTTAATAAAAATTGCTCGAGAGATAAAATATATAGTGTTAGAAATCGTTAAAATTTTGCTCAAAAATTGCAAGAGAGATCAAATATTGTTCAAAAATTGCTTAAAAGGTAAAAATGCTGTTAACAATTGCTCGTGTGATTAAATAGTGTTAAAAATTGTACAAAAAAATATTGTAAAAACATTGCTCGAGGGATAAAAAAAGTTGTTAAAAATTGCTCGAGAGATAGAATAATGTTTGAAATTTATCGAGAGATAACATATTGTTTAAAAATAGCTCAAGAGATAAAAAAGGTTTATAAACTGTTCGAAAGATAAAATAGTATAATAAGTTATTAAAATCTTTTTCAAAAATTGCTCGAGAATAAAATAGTGTTAGATATTTGTCGAGAGATAAAATATTGTTTAAATTGCTCTGTTCGTGTTCTCTATAAACCTTTTTTTTGCTCTTTAATGACCATCCTTCACAATTAGAAAATCTGATAATTTTATAGAATCTAGTACATTTTTATGTAATCTGGTATACTTTTTAGACAAATTACAAAAATATATTCTGGCAACACTGCTCTATACTCCATATACTTACTTTACTTTTACATAAAAGATGGCGGTCATTAAATAGGCATTTAAGTGCTTTGTGATGTATATTTTAAAAATTAGTGCATACATATTTGTAGAAAATATATCGTATCATTGATAATTATATGAAATAAACATTTACGTTTGCCTATATATTTTAAAACGCAATAAACATACAAAGTGCCTATCTCTACCTAACTAAATGCAAACAAAATTTAATAGTTATCTTACTCTATAAATGTGTTTCATTAAAAAACATGTAATTATCCAATTATTACCATCTACAACTAGTTTTTAATATTGTAAATACCAGAATAGGTACCTATATTATATAAATAAATATAATGGGTCATTACATGCAAGACCATCTAGTGATGGATACTTAAACTATTGTGCACAATTCGCTCCGTGCGAAGTCATGGAAAGGGAAGCAAAAGCGATACTAGCGCTAGCTGCGGATAATTCGTGCATTTTAGGGGGATATTTTGAAATTTTGGCATATCAAATACACGTATACATTTTACTTTTTTCAAAAAAAAGTAGGTAAAAACAATACATTAAGCAACCGAAGTTGCTGTGTTGAAAATTGAACAAATACTAGCAAAAAAAAACAGTGAAACTTATATAAAAAATTTCAGTAGCAAAGTGGAAATTAAATCAAAGAAATAAATGGATAGATATACAATAAGAAGAAAAATTACCTTTATTTTTGTAATAATAACCGTAATGCTGCAAATAGTAGACATCAGAAACTTGAAAGGTTTTAAATCAACAATAAATTATCATTTTACCATGTTCTTTAATATCCCTTATTCTTAAATGTTCATTCAGCAAGGACTAGATTTCTGCCTTTGATTATTATATGTGGTTGGACCCGCAATTTTGTAACTTACGGGAAATCAGTTTTAATCATTCATTCTATGTTTTCTTTCGAACAAAAATGAAAATATAAGTAATGATCCTTTTTTTATACATTTTAACTTCACGCTATTATTAAATGGAATTTTTTTATTTTGACAGATTAGAGTAATTCTTCAATGAAAACTTATTAGACTTAGGCAACTTCTCATACAATTTCCAGTAAATACTGTTGCCTGCCTATATTTTATTATTCATTTTTATCGATTATACATAATTTTCTTTAATTTAAGCGATAAAAATATATAATAATAATAAATTAATGTTTTACTTGTTTTACAAATCCATATACTTTTATTAAAACTGCCATATATACTTTTTAATTACGAATTCTATTAAAAGTTGCATTTGTCAGTGTATGCAGAAATACTCCATTAGTATCAAAACGAATTGGCGCTGCTGTCGCGCACGGAGCGAATAGAATTTAAAAACAAAAAATAAAGCCTTATCTTATAATTATCTAACAAATTAATAAAAAAACCTTTTATATGTTTTGTGTGGTAAATAAATTAGAATTTATAGAACATTCAAATTAAAAAAAAATTTTCCATAGAAATGGGGCAGTTTTATTTATTTATTTATTATTAATGTAGAAATCTTTGTCTATTGTAAGATAGATGTCAGTACGAGTATCAACTAATTTAATTTCCTTTCTGTCAAGATTTTGACGTTTTGACAACTGTTGAATTGAATTTTTATAGGTTACAATTTTCGAAAAATATAACAATTTTTATTTATTATAAATAATGGTAAGAACGGCTATAGTTGATGATAATCTCGAAAAGTACTTATCTGCAGTATCCAGAGATAATAATTACGCCGTAGGACTAATTTTAGGACAGGTAATTAAAGTAAACATAAATTTTGTTAACATATGCTGATGTTTTCGATTTTTAGTCATGTTTAGGCAAAGACTATATTATCCACTTTGCCAAAACTCCACCTCTGCAGACGGATGATGATAAAAAATCCGGCAAATCTGCTGAAAAACCGAAAAAAATCGAGGATTTTAACAATGTCTGGCTGGCTGATCATGCCAGACAAGCCACCAGGATGCTCCCGGGTGGGTTCTACGTACTAGGAATATTTGTTATATCCCCTGATGATGTTTTAAATCCTTTTAACCCAAAAATTAAATCACTGTTACATTCTGTTCACATACAATTAAGTTCCAACAAATATCTATTCGGCAGCCCTAATACAGATAAACTGGTTCTCCATCATTCTTCAAAAACGCAGAAATATTTTTGTAAAAGTTACGACATTACCAGTCACAGTGTCCAGCCTGTAGATGTGAAATCCCAGCCAAAAAACTGGATCAATATTCATTGTGATTTTACACTAAACAAACTTTATTATTTAGCCAAACATCAGGGAGAGTTGCCATTAGAAAAGCATATCAAGGTAAAAAAACCGGTGAAATTTTAGAAATGGAGGGATTTTATGTTTTTGTTTTTAAGGTAATTTTGGATGAGTTGTCTGGAATTTTAGATACAGCTGTATTTTTGTATGATAGGGAATTTCGAGATAAAGATGATAGTTTAGAAACGTTAGGAAAGAAGAAAAATAGGAACAGTAGATCGAGCAAAAATTCTCACGAGTCTGGTGATGGTCAAAAGCCTTTGCAAGTTTCTATATTTCAGTCAATGGTAAGTGATACCTACATTTTCATTATAAAGCAATTTATTTACAAGTCGCATGTTTTTAGAACTCAAATTCTTCCACAAATTCGGACGTAAATATCTTAGATTCAGGTGGTAGGTTTAGATTAATTGGCAAAGTAGCTTCTAAGCTATGGATGCAACCAAAAACGACCATTGCTGAAGCTTCTGAAGCCGTTAAAGAAGATATTTTACGAAGTCTTACTTCTAGGTTAGAAATGCACTGGGATTCTTTAATAGAAGAAGAAAATTCTGAAGGTAAGACATTAATTTTAACTGTCCTTTTACTATGTTACATAATTATTTCCAGATGTATATTAATTGATATCAAAGTATCTTATTCTTAGTTTTTCAAAATTAAGACGTCTCTCATATTTAAAAAAATATATTTATCACAAAAAATTGTTATTTACATTTTCACAATCTGAATGGTTGCAATAAATATGGAGAATCATAAGAAAATTATCGTCTTTTTACAATCCTATATTTTTCTAAGTTTACTAAAATAATGTTCTCTATGTAATTATTCAAATATTATTCTCAGAAATGAGTTCAGAAGAAATTCTGAACTCAAACAAGAATATTTACAGTAAAGTCCAGCTAAGCAGTTGCAAGGTATATCACCAATAACATAAACCAGCAGCATATATGATCTATTTTCAAATTGGTTTAACAAATAATCCTAAATTGGTGCCATTCTGTTTTAGACATCAAACTATTGTGTAATTTTTAATATGTACTAGGGTGTGTCATTAATGATCAACTTTTTTTTTCAACTAATAAACAGGCTAAAAACTTTCAGGAAGGTGAAAAAAGAAGCCTCTAAAAATTTGAGCTCTTAACATTTAGTGGTGCCTGTTCCTAACTTTTTATGCACTAATATTTTTAGAAAGCTAAAATAAAAAAAATTACATGTTAGATACTATTTTATTATTTAATTAACTGTTAAACAAAAATAATTATGAATTAGGTTTAGTTAAATTATTATTTTATAGATTAAAAAAAAACTTTTTAACAATTAGAATACTAAAATTTTGAAACTCAATAGAAATTATAATGTCTTATCAGAATAACTATATTTGTTGAAGTTTTTTCATTACAATCTGGAAGTTTTCGTTGGTGCTCTTTTACCACTTGTAATAAATATTAAAATTGTTCCTCATCTTTAGTTAGGCATCTTTTATATTACGATTGTGTTCTATCTTTTTCTAATCGTGTAAAAAATATAGTTAAGGCTGCAAATAGAATGCTGGGGTTCATAATTAGGCAAACTAGAAGTTTTACTAACATAGAATCTATAAAAATTCTTTATTATGCTCTAGTTAGACAAAACCTTGAATTTGAAGCTGAGGTATGGATGGGGGAACATCCAACTAATCTATATGAGATTGAAAAAATACAGAATAAATTTCTTAGATATCTTTATTTCAAAAAATTCCATATATACCCAGACTACAATATTGTTAGAACTGCAAACTTAGGAAAATAATTTAAAATACCTTCTCTTCACACCAGAAGGAATATGATAATGTTGACTTTTTTATATAAAATTATTAACTATAAAATTAACTCACCTGAGCTACTATACTTAATACGATTTAATGTACCTCCGAGGAGAATGAGACATCCATGTATGTTTAATATTCCTTTAGTTCTTACCACTGCCAGGTCACCTCTTGTGACCATGCTCGGATTGGTAAATAATATTAACACTTGTATTGATGTAGATTGGACACTACCATTTAATATGTTCCAAAAACTTGTATTTAATTATTACATTACTCTTGATTAATTATTACTTTACTGAATAAGTTGTAATATTAGTTGTAATTACCTACTGTTTATTATTAATATTATTATTATTATTTATTTATTATGATACTTTTATCCATGAAATAAGGCCGTTGGCCTGTTTGGATACAAATAAATAAATAAATATTCTTTTACTAATGCGACGCCACGTTCTGCAGCGTCATTGACAACTTTCGTTTTCTCGAAAAAACTTCAAATTCTCTTGATAACTTTCATTATCTAGCCACATTAGTACATCTTCATCCAGAAAGTCGTACGGCAAATTAAATTTATCAAAAAGTTTCAATGATTGTTTTGAAACAAAGTCACTCATATTTTTGTTTAAAAATATTTCTGGTGAGTTTTTGTCTTCTGAGCGTCGTTTTTCAACCTCCTGGCTCTTCATCGATTCAACCATTTGCCTCTTAATTTCAACAGGAACATGTTCATCAAATAGTGCAAAAACAGCTAAATCTTCATTCAGATACCACAAATAATCCAATAGTTTTTTGATAGCAGCTAATGAGACAGATAAATTTGTTCTTCATATAGAACCAATTTTTGCATTAGTTCTTGTTCTTGTTTTGGAGCGAGAATTGCAGAAGTCGAGGTAAACCAAGCTTTAATGTAGAATAAAACAACAAAAATGCGAATTTCTCTGAGATTTTTTGTTTCATGAGCTGTTAATTTAAATTCATTCCTAAACAAGAATATGTTAGAACCTCTATAAAATGCCTAATGTTATTATTTTTAAGTTGGTACTGTACAATGACAGATGACATTCTTGACATTATGTTTATTGGTTATTCTGTGTGTGAAGCCCACTGTTGCTATTACAATAAAAGTTAATCCTGATTTTATTTAATTAATCCTGTGTGGATAATTTACCTGTGTGATCTTATGATCAACCCTCGGTCAGGTATATTACATTTCAGAAGTAGGATCTGAATGCCATCACGTATTTTCGTAGATATTCGACTTCAAAAAAAAAATACGGCGTGTCGGTTCGGTAAAACTTTCAAACTATTAATAAAAATAAAGGTGAATAAACGTTAGAAAGTGGACCTTCTGTGTGCGGTCTCAAAACTCTTAAACCTGTGTGAATTGCTAATAAACAGAACTGAAACTGTGTGAATTCGAAACGACAAAAAAAAAATAAACAAAATGTCTTCAAATGCAGATAATGGGCATGAAACCGATAGCTTGGATGGTCACGGTAACTTTAATGACGAAAACTTACAAGGTAGGATTAACCATTCAGATATTTATGTTCAAAGAATGATGGATATGTTTATTTCCGAAAATCGCAGACGCGATGAAATGTTCATGTCAGTTTTAGAACGCCTAACTCCTAATTCAAATAATCAGGAAGAAAACAATGCATCAGCTGTTTCTTCAGCCTCTCATACACATCATGTTTTACCAGATTTATCACGTATAATAGGGTATTTTGATGGTGATAAAGATTTGTATAAAGCTGAAAAATGGATAAACAGTTTAGAAACTAGTAGACGATTAAATCAGTGGTCAGATAATTACTTACTTGAAACTGCTAGGGCTTATTTAAAGGGACCAGCTACACACTGGTTTGATGTAAAACGTGAATTAATATTTACTTGGAATGATTTTAAAAAAGAGTTCGAAAAGACTTATATTAGAACAGAAGGGATTTCAGAAAAATGGGAAAAGATGAAAAATAGAAAACAAAACAAAGGGGAAAGTATTATGTCATATTTTTATGAAAAAGTCGAACTGTGTAAAAAATTAAATTTACAATTTGATGATTGTAAGGAAGAAATTTTAAATGGGTTATTACAAAAAGAAATAGCATTAAGCTTAATGGTAAAAATTCACTACGATTTTGATTCATTATTAAAAGACATTTTAGCTATTGAAAGAATTAAAAACACTAGTAAGCCAGAGCGAAATATTCAGATTGTAGAAAATCAAAAACCTTTTTATAATAATAGTACTTATAGACAAAGAAAATGCTACAAGTGTGGGTTAATAAATCATACATCTGAGCAATGCACACGTAAAAATCCAGTATGTTTTACTTGTAAACAAGAAGGTCATGTTGTGTCTAATTGTCCAAATGAAAATAAACGATTTATTCCTAGAGGACAAACTGCAAACCCTGCAACTTTTAATTCAAATACAGCTACACGTCAGCATATCCGAATATTAAATGATAGTGCACCTGCATTTAATGCAAATAATGATCTGTTAGGGGAAAGTAGGGCAAATGTGAACTCAATTGAAAAACAAATTGATATTAATAATCTTGACAAATGCTCTGAAGGCAAGTTTTTGAAAAATGTTTTAATCAATGATTCAATTTTGGTAAAAGGGTTTATTGATACTGGTAGCTCTGTATCTACTATAAAAAATAAAATTGTGGAAAAATTCAAATTAAAAACGGTAGATGTAATACAGCCATTGTATGCTTTTGGTGGTAATTCACAACCAGCTATATATTCACCTGGAAAAGCGTATGTAAAATTGCAAATAGATTTAGCAGTTATTGAGAATATCGATTTATGTATAGTTCCTGATAGTGCACAGGACACAGATTTAATTATTGGTAGAAATTTTTGTGAACTACCGAATATCGCTTGTGTCAGCAAAGGTGAAGAATTAGTTTTTGGATTTGCAGAAAATCAGCCATTCAAAGATTTAGATATTGATGTTATAATAAACTCAGTGCCTCATAGATTTAAAACTATATCTGATACTAAAATTTCAGCATTTTCAAAACGAGATGTAAATGTTATTAAAAATAACGAAAACAAAATTTTGAGAATATACAATACTAGCGACAAAGCCTTTGAATTAAAATCTAATCAAGAATTCAAAATTTTAGAAAATCCTGAAAAGCCAGAACATATTTTAAATCAAAATGAATTTAGTTACAATCCGCTTACAAAAGACATGGTAAATATTGCTAGTAATGTTTCAATTGATAATAGCGAGAATTTGATTAACTTACTTAATGAATATCGGGACTGTTTTGCTTTAAAATTAAACGAGTTGGGTTGCACCGATTTAACAAAAATGGATATAGTTGATACAAATGTTCCCGTTAGATGTCAGCCATACAAAGTTTCATCTGCCGACCGTGAGACTATAGCAAAAATTGTAGAGGACTTAAAAGATTGTGGTATAGTTACTGAAACTACAAGTCCATATGCATCTCCAGTTCTAATAGTACGCAAGAAAAATGGTGATCCACGATTAGTAGTCGATTTTAGAAAACTAAATAAACAAACTGTACCTGTGAATTTTCCAATGCCCAATCTTGATGAGCAATTTCAATATTTATCTGGTAGTAAAATTTTTGCATGTTTAGACTTAGCAAATGGTTATTTACAAGTGCCGTTAACAGAAAACGCGAGCAAAAAGACTGCCTTTATAACACCGGATACTACGGGCGAATATAAACGAATGGTTTTCGGGCTTACTAATGCACCGTATGAATTTGTGCGTCTTATGAACATTGTATTAGGGCCACTGCGAAATAAAATATGTTGTTCTTATTTGGACGATGTCATAGTTCCCGCGAAAGACTGGAATCAGCTTTTAGAACGGTTAAAACTAGTGCTCGAAGCTTTTCGGAGTGCCAAATTGACACTTAATCCAACGAAGTGCGTTTTCGGTAAAACGGAAATTGAATATCTCGGATACACAGTGTGTGAACAAGGACTAAAACCGGGCTCAAATAAACTTTTAGCTTTGCAAAATTTTCCAGAACCTACTAACGTACATGAAGTGCGCAGATTTTTAGGACTTTCAGGGTTTTTCCGCCGATTTATTGAAAAGTACGCAGTAATTGCCAAACCATTAACGGACTTAACAAAAAAAGGTTGTGATTTTAATTTTAATCGCGAATGTCGAGACGCGTTTGAAAAACTCAAAAACATTTTAACTCAAGCTCCCGTACTAAAATTATATGATTTTAATGCCGAAACCGAATTACACACGGACGCATGTTCTATTGGAATAGCGGGTATACTCCTTCAAAAAGACGAAAATGGTAAAAATAGATTAGTATATTGTGTTTCAAAAAAGTTAACCGAACATGAAAGCAAATATCATTCTACAAGACTGGAATTATTAGCGGTAATATGGAGTGTAGAACGTCTTAGAAACCTACTCATCGGAATAAAATTTAAGATCATTACAGATTGTCAGGCGATCGTATTTTTAAACAATAATAAAAGTACCAACCCCCAGACTGCACGTTGGTTTAGTACACTACAAGAGTATGACTATGCATTTGAATTTAGGAAAGGAGATCGAATGGCCCATATAGATGCTTTAAGCAGAGCACCTGTAGAAGAATCAACTGATACACACGATCAACTCCTAGATAAAAGACTAACAGTTCTTACTACACTAACTGAAGAATCCCAAATTATTATGATCCAGAGAAGTGATGAAAAACTAAAACCCATTATAGATATATTAACAAAAACTTCCAGAGAAAGAAGTAAAGAAGAAATAAATATGACAAAAGAATATAAGCTAATCTCAGGAAGATTGATGGTAACTAAAATAATAAACGGAGAAGAAAGAAAACTATTTGTAGTACCCAGTACAATGAGAAAAAGTATTCTTGTAAAGAATCACGATTTAACCGGACATTTTGGAGTTGACAGAACTGTTTCAAGAATTCTAGAGAAATTTTGGTTTCCTAAATTAAAGAGTTATACAAGAAGACATATTTCAAGTTGTATGGAATGTATAATTAACAAAGTACCTTCAGGTAAACAACCAGGGTTGCTAAATCCAATTCCACCAACTAATAGACCATTTAGCAGAATTCATATCGATAATCTTGGTCCATTTATTAAATCATCCAGAGGAAACCAGCACCTTTTTGTAGTAATAGACTCCTTTACACGATTTGTCAATTTATATCCTATTCGAAGTACCAAAAGTACTTGTGTAATAAGAGCAATGGAAGACCTTATTTTTAAGTTTGGCATTCCAAACACTATAGTATGTGACCGTGGAACCTGTTTCACAGCCACCAGTTTTAAAGATTTTTGCATCTCCAAGGGCATCAAGTTAGTATTTAATTCCCCTCGACACCCACAAGGAAATGGAATGGTTGAGAGAGTAAACAGAACTCTTATACCAGTCATACAAGCAGAGATGAAAACAGAGAAAAGTTGGGACCAATGTTTAGGAAAAGTTCAATGGAATCTGAACACCTCTATAAACAAGACGACTAGACAAGTTCCGTATAAATTACTATTTGGTTACATACCTAGTTTAGACGACCCCATATTAGATGCTCTAACTGAAGTTAATCCCACAACATCTCTAGTTAATTTGAGAGAAATTGCCAAAGAAAATATGATTAAAGGACAGCAGAAAATGAAAGAACAATTTGATAAGAAAAGATATATTGGACATGAATATGATATAGGAGAAATTATTGTAGTCAAAGCCTCACCTACAGCTACTGGAGAAAGTACAAAATTACAAAAGAAATATAAAGGTCCATATGTAGTACTGAAAAAAATGCCAGGAAATACATATCAGATAGAAAAACTATGTAGTGAAGATGGAGAACGACAGCAGATTACAACAGCCCATGTTTCCCAAATAAAAGGCTATTACAACTCATATGAAAGTGACGAAGACATAACTACAGATGAAGAAAATGAATCCGAATCCATGTCAATACAACCTAAACTAGACGAAAAACCCAATGAGAAGAACAGCGCTAAAAAGAAAGCGAAATTAGAAGATATGGATGATGATCAAGCAAGCGAGACGGAAATTGTAGAAAAGAAGAGAGAAAAACGAAGACCTAATAAATTTAAAGACTATATTTGCTATTAAGCCTTCAGCTATTTTTGTGTTCATGCTAAAATTTAAATTTTTTTTTGTTCTTTATATAAAAAAAAAAAAAAAAAAAAAAAACAAAACTTTTTTTAGGATTATTACTTTAAATGCGAGGTCGCATTTTTGTCAGGATGGACGAATGTTAGAACCTCTATAAAATGCCTAATGTTATTATTTTTAAGTTGGTACTGTACAATGACAGATGACATTCTTGACATTATGTTTATTGGTTATTCTGTGTGTGAAGCCCACTGTTGCTATTACAATAAAAGTTAATCCTGATTTTATTTAATTAATCCTGTGTGGATAATTTACCTGTGTGATCTTATGATCAACCCTCGGTCAGGTATATTACAAATATTTTCAAATTATAAATAGCTTTTGCCATCCACCTCGCATGGTGCATAGCACCAGGACGTTTGAAATGAGTTATCCGATTTGGAGTGTCATCGAGAAAAATGAAAGATAATTCCAAATAACTTTTTTCTTGAAAATAATTTTTAAGATATAAAAAAAGTCATCAGTATTAGTTTAATAAAATAAAAGTCATAATTTCATACATTTGCAACATTAAGTTTGAATATCTTTAGAACAACTCACTCTATGAAAAAATAAATTTTTTTGTAGAGCGTTCAATATCCTAGCAAAATACTTTTTCAGTTCATTTTTACAATGCTAAAATGTCAAGCTACAAAAATAAGAAAAAAGAAATTTTTTCCATGTTATTTAAATGGAAAATGAAAAGTTAGGAACAGGCACCACTTAATGTTAATATTAAGAGCTCAAATTTTTAGAGGCTTCTTTTTCTCACTTTCTTGAAAGTTTTTAGCCTGTTTTTTAGTTGAAAAAAAAAAGTTGCTCAAAAATGACACACCCTAATATGTACGTGTATTTCAATAATACCCTGTATTACAGTTTCATGATGTAACAATTAAAATTTTCTAAGCTCACCTGGTTTTCAGACATCAATAGTGTTCACGAACCTCCTAGAAGGGTCCTAATAGCCTTACCTGACAGTGAAATTGCCCTCTCAGATTATTTATTCCCAGGAGAAGGGCCACAGGAAGCCAAAGTATCACTAGAAGAGCTCTTAGACGTCAAAATTAATGGAAAATTGAACATAACAGACGTCGAAGGTCAAGCAGGTGCGTCACACAGTTAAACGCGTTTTCGAGATCGATGATAATCGAAATTTCTGTTGCAGACGCTACGGATCTGGATAAATATTACAAAGGTGCCTTGGACAGTGATAAAGATGATGTCTCGTTAAAAGATAAACCTGACTCCAATCATTTAATGTATATGGGACTAGTGTTGTCACTTCTTGTTCTCATTGTTGCTGTTTTATTCAAAGTTTTTATGTAAATTGTATTATGACGTTCGAAAATGGTTTCATTTAAACAAACGGTGCATTTATTTTTAAAAATATAACCTGTTATTTAAGTATTGTCTTTTATTAATATCTGTACAATACTTATAATTGAAGGTATTTGAAAAATACTCAACAGGAGTTTTTTAATAAAGAATTCAAATATTCAAGAGTTGAGGGTTTGTTAATTGGCCGAGGATTGAGATAATTGTTCTAGAGCTTTTTTTAATAACAATTCAACTTTAATTGCTTGATTTTTTCTATTAAAGAATTCAAATATTCAAGAGTTGTGGGTTCATTAACTGCTCGGGAGTTAAGGTAATTAATTACTTTTTTTTTAATAAACTATTCAAAATAATCAACAATTGTAATTGCTAGAGTTATTTTAATTAAAGAATTCAAATATTCAAGAATCGTGGGTTCGTTAGTTGCTCGGGAGTTAGGTATTTGCTAGAGTTTTTTTTTTAATAAAGAATTCAAATACTCAAGAATTGTAGTTTCGTTAATTGTTCTGGAGTTGTTTTTAATAAAGAATTCAAATACTCAAGAGTTGAAAGTTCGTTAATTGCTCTAGAGTTAAGATAATTGTTCGAGAGCTTTTTTAATGAATAATTCAAATACTCAAGATTTCCGGGGTTTGTTAATTTGTTAATTTCTCGTTGTTTTTTTTTTATTATTCATGAATTTAAATACTCAAGAAGTGTGGGTACGTTGATCTGAAGTTAAGGTAATTACGAGCTTTTAAGGCAGGTAACATGTTTGTTGCTTATGATAGTTGTGCTGTGTTGATACGCTTGAGGTGTACAGGTGCTTTAAATGTAATGAATTTAACCACTTGTCACAAAAATGTACGAAATCTGCTTTTTGTCCAATATGCGGCGGAGGCCACGAACTGAACGACTGCAAATTAACCGAAAAAAATGTACAAATTGTGTAAAATTAAATAATCCCGGTGTAGCTACTAATTATGCCGTGTGGGAGAAAGAAATATGTTCGGCATATATCCAGTCATTAAAAAAGTTGAGATCAAACTTATCATCTAATTAGCAACCATCCACAAATTTTCTATTGTCCCCGTAAACACACCTTCATATAAATCTATAAATAAAAGTAAGAATGAAATATCAATATTTTATCAAAATACTTGTGGACTGAAAACAAAAACCACAGAAATGTTTAAATTTTAACACACAAAGTGACTCAAAATATTTGTTTTTACCGAAACCTGGTTGGACTCGTCGGTCAATAATTCGGAACTGTTTACTACAGATTTTAATGTTTTTAGAACAGATAGAAATCTTACAGTGATAAAACGAGGCGGTGGGGTGTTGATCGCGGTTCATGAAGAGTATATTTTTACTCGTATTGATTTGCAGCAATACTCTTGGCCGCTATTTAGATTCAGTCTTGTTAATAAAAGTTAGATTAAATCTTACGCATATCTATATTTGTAATCTATATATTCCACCAAGAACATCTTTTGAGGAATACGAATGCCTTTTTGAGTCTCGTAGAGTCTTTGGATTTTTTGTATGGAAATAAAATTTTGTTTTTAGGTGATTTTAATATATCCGAATATGCTTTGTTTCTTACCAACTCTCAGTCGAATGCAAGATTAGATGCATTAAACAATTTTGCAGATATCTTTGATTTAAAACAGAATAACTTTGTTTTTAATGAAAATAATAGGCTACTAGACCTAGTGTACTTTAATAATTCCTGTTTTGTTGAAAAATCCGTAGATCCGTTGCAGAGCTGTTTAAGATAATTTTAAAAATGATTTAAATCAAAGATCATAAATCATTTGCACTTGAACAAATGATTTAAATCAAAGATCGATGTTTTAAAAAGAAAGATTTAAATCAAAAATCTTTTTTAGATTTAAATCTTTTTTTCAATTTAAATCATTTTAGGAAAGATTTAAATCTTTTCGAAAGATTTAAATCTTTTCAAAAGATTAAATCATTTTAGGAAAGATTTAAATCTTTTCAAAAGATTTAAATCTTTTCAAAAGATTTAAATCATTTTAGGAAAGATTTAAATCTTTTCGAAAGATTTAAATCTTTTCGAAATATCTAAATCTTTTTAAACGAAATAAATATTTTCAAAAGATTTAAATCTTTTTATAGATTTGGGTGACTCTTTAAAAAATGCTTTCGGTAGGCCAAAGATAATGAATACTTAAGTAAGGTGATTTTCTCATAAATAAAACGCAAAACTCGATCAACTTTTCTCGTATTTATTTTTTATCGTTATTAGCCCAATGCAATTCTTACGGAAATATTAATTTTAAATAATCAAGATAATATTTTTAAGGATTTATGCAGCATTGATATCTATAGTTATGAAAATTGTTATTTAAAAATGTCATGTCAATTGGTAAATAGGAATTTTTTAACCCTTTAAAAGACTTTTGGTATGCCTATGATGCCACAAAACAATGGAGACCTAGTTTTTAAGAAAAGTGATTTTTTTCTGAAAAATCACTTAAATCCGTCAACTCTTCCTTAAGTTAACGTGCTTAATGTCATACATAAACACCCCACATAGATGCACATACATCAGACTCTTTAAAAATATGTTTGTTTGTACTTAAGAGACTCTCCCGGAAAAATGCATTTCATTTTCAAAATCTCCCGGCTATGAATAATGAAATTGAGTGGGTTGAATTAAAAGAGTTCTTCTCTCAACGTGAAGTTATTGCGAGTAAATAAATAACCAAAGTGAGCGCGTTTGGGTTAACTTTTTTGAAAAATGTGTGGATGAATCAGGCAAAGAAATAAAAAATTTAATTAATTCACTCTATCTATGCCAAGCGTGTTTATTGAACTGGTCAAAAAGTCATAATCGTCTTAATGCAACTCATGTCAAATCTGAAATGAAAGTGTGCATAAATTTAAAATACCTATGTTAAGAGTTTCAGGATATTGTAAAATTTCATACTTAAAAATAATCTTTAGTCATTGCAATTATTATCTTAAAAAAGATTTAAATCTTTAATAAAATATAAATCATTTTAAAAAGATCGCATCATTTTACAGATTTAAATCATTTCAGAAAGATTTAAATCGTTTTAAAAAGATTTAAATCGTTTTAAAAAGATTTAAATCTAATTTTTAAATAAAAAATCAAAGATACTTTTCAAAAACATTTAAATCATAAATCAAAAATCATTTTTTTAAAAAAGATTTAAAATCAAAGTATTTAAATCAAAAAATGTATTTAAATCAAAAAATGATTTAAATCTCACTGATAGGTGACAGCTCTGATCCGTTGATAGATTGTCATCATCCAGCTTTGACCATTACATTAAAATCAGTAGAAAAACTGAATAATAAAAATAATTTAGATTCATCTTTCATAAATTGCTATAACTTTCGTAAGGCAAATTTTCCGATGTTGTATATGATTTCCAAAATTGACTGGACTTTTCTGGAAAGTTTTTTTTTTGAAGTTAATGATGCCTGTACATACTTTTATGGGAAATTATACAATGTGTCAGATAAATGTGTACCTAGGTATACAGTCCACAGTAAGAAAAATTATCCCTGGTATAATGGCGCTATTATAAATTTAATTCGCAAAAAATCCAAACTGGCAACATTATAAGAGAGAGAATGATATTCATGCTTTTGAGAAGTTTAGACGCATAAGAAGTCAAGTTAAAGTTCATGTCGATAGAGCCTATAAACAAAATCTTGAAATAGCTGAATGAGAAATATAGATTAATTCCAATAATTTTTGGGCTTACATCAATAATAAAAAATGCTCCAATAAGGTTGGTAATACCATGATCTATGAAAGTAACTTTCTTCTTAATCCATCAGATGGCTTTTCTACCTTTTTTAGTAAATCTTATGTGTAGTCTTCAGCCAAAAATGTCCCGATAAACAAAAGCCACATGTATCGCTTAAACATTACAAGCTTTTTAGAAAACCAAGTCTTAGATACTTTAATATCAGTAAAGCCCAAGCGGACCACTGGGCCTGACCATATTCCTGCTTTCCTTTTAAAAGACTGTGCACTGGCTCATCCTTTAACTATACTTATAAATACCTGCATCCGGACTAAAACCATACTGTCAGTGTGGAAAGAGTAAGGTTTATCCCATATATAAAACAGGTAGAAAACTATCGCCCTATCTCTATCATCTGTAACTTTAGTAAAGTGTTTGAAATGTTGCAGGAACGTACAGTTTACCAACACGTCCGCAAACATAATATTGGATTGACAACATGGCTTTGTAAAAGGTCGTTCAACAGTTACAAATCTCTCCATAATTACGCAGTATATTTCAGAAAACATTGACAACCGAACTCAGACAGATGTTATTTATACGGATATGACAAAGGCATTTGATCAGCTTTTGACCACGGTATTTTGGTAAAAAGACTAGCCTCTTTTGGACTCTCAAACAATCTTATTCGGCTTCTTATATCGTATGTCACCAACAGAACACAATGCGTTCAATTAAATGGCTTTAAGTTTGATCAGTATTCTGCCACCTCTGGTGTTCCTCAGGGATCAAATCTGGGCCCGTTGCTGTTTAATATTTTCGAGAATGACGTCGTGGATGTTGATTCTTTAATTTACGCCGACGACTTTAAATTTTACTTAACAATTAAGAACGTCGCGGATTGTGAAAGGCTATCTGAAAATCTTCTGAGTTATCGAATGGTGTCGGGAAAATAACCTAAATTTGAATCCCTTGAAGTGTAATGTCATGTCTTATTTACTTAGCTCTGATCCAATTGCTTACAATTACCGTATAGGCAACACTCTATTATGCAGACCGAATAACTTTGTGGATTCAGCACTATCATTCAATGACCACATTGACGGTATATTAACTGCAGCAAGCCGCATGTACGGATTCATAATTCGGAACTGTCGGGATTTTAAGAATGCAAGAACGTTAAAGTATCTTTATTATGCGTTTATCCGCTCAAAGCTTGAATATGCTTCGGTTATATGGAGTCCCAGTTACTAGGTTAGAGGCTCTTCAAAGACAGTTTCTCAAATATTTAAGTTTCTGAGAAGATCAAGTGTATCCTCCAATTGGCACTCCACATAACGATCTGTTAGCAAGACATAGTTTTTAGAGTCTTGAAGCAAATATTTTTCAGTAGCTATACTGCACAAAGTCATAACCAACAAAATAAATTGTAAAGACCTGCTGCATATGTTAAGATTTAGGATTCCAGGCCAAACTTCTAGGTGCAATGATACTTTTTACTTGACCACTCCTTGCAACAACATTTTAAACAAATCTCCATTATATGTCATGTGTAGTAATTGCAACAGCATTAACTCTGAGTTGGATATATTTAACATTATATTTAACATTAGCAAATATTTTTCAGTAGCTATACTGCACAAAGTCATAACCAACAAAATAAATTGTAAAGACCTGCTGCATGTGTTAAGATTTAGGATTCCAGGCCAAACTTCTAGGTGCAATGATACTTTTTACTTGACCACTCCTTGCAACAACATTTTAAACAAATCTCCATTATATGTCATGTGTAGTAATTGCAACAGCATTAACTCTGAGTTGGATATATTTAACATTAGAATTTTGGACCTAAAACATTTGCTTTTGTGATTATTTTATCGTTTTAAATAGTTTGTTTTTTCTTTCTTAAATTTTTATTCTTTTGTTTTGTAATTTTTTACATTGTATTTTTCTGAGATATTTGTTTTGTCATATTTTGCCTGTTATTTAATTGGGAATTTCGTGTGGAACAGTTTGTAAAATAAAATAAATAAATAAATTGTTCAAGTTTCTTTTGTTAAAGAATTTAAATAATCAAGAATTGTGGTTTCGTTAATTGCTCGAGTTTTTTTTTATTTTTTAATAAATAATTCAAATAATCAAGAGTTGAAAGTTCGTTAATTGTTTGAGAGTTAAGGTAATTGTTCGAGGGCATTTTTAATAAAGAATTCAAATTCTCAGGAGTTCGTTAATTTCTGGAGAGTTAGGGTAATTGCTAAAGTTTTTTTTCTATTAAGGAGTTCAAATAATCAAGAGTTTTGGGTTCGTGCATTGCTCAAATTTCTTTTTAGTAAGTAATTTAACGTGTTTGGATGATATCTGCTTCTCTCTATCTTAGATGATTTTTGAGAAGTAAGCATCAACTTTTAAAGTATTTCTGTTACAAAGGAACCGGTCTTTTTTTGAGATCTAGACGTTGTATATTATGCGAAGACCAATTTTTTGCCATTTTTATTTTCCCAAAAATGTAATTGCTCCAGTATTTCTTTTTTAATAAAGGATTGAAATACTCAAGAGTTAAAGGTTGGTTAATTGCTCTGAAGTTAAAGATAATTGCTCCAGTTTTTCTTTTTTAATAAAGGATTAAAATGCTTAAGTGTTGGGGGTTGGTTAATTGCTCGAGAGTTAAAGATAATTGCTCGAGAGTTAAGATAATTGCTTAAGCATTAAAGTAATTGCTCAAAAATTAAAATAATTGCTCGTGTTTTTTAATAAAGAAATCAAGTACTCGAGAGTTGAGGATTCATTAATTGCTCGAGAGTTATGGTATATTTAAAGTTCAAGGGTTAAAGGACACTTAAAAACTCGAGAGGAAAGTTATCGTTATTTCTAGAGTTAAAATCTCGAGGCACGAGATCATTATTTGCTCAAGAATTTAAGAATACAAACGCTGAAGAGAAGAAATATTTTTAAAAATTGCTCGAGAGTTAAGTACCTCTTGATCTGAAACGCTCTTGCTTTGCATATCGACGACATTTAATTGCAGATAGTAAAGAAATACGCCAAAAATTAAAGGACATTTAAATATTTGAGAGTTAAAGGGTATTTATTCGAGAGTTAAATAAATATACAACCGATAAAAATATGAAATAATTTATTTATCGAAAGTAAACGATTGAAAAAATAAGATAAATGACATAAAATTAAAGTCGGGTAACTTCAAAACAAATATAATCTGCAGTTTCAACCGCAAAAATGGCATCTACTGACGCGGATCCATTGTAATACCAAGCGAGAAAAAATAATAATAAAAAAATGGAAATTATCTGTGCTTTGAAGTGCAACAACTTAAAGAAAATTGAGTAATTAGTTGAATTTGCATTTGGAAAAGTCCATTTCCGGATGCTGTTCCATGAACTTCTTCAGAACGTCTTGTTTCTTCTGTTCGTCGCTAGTGGGGAGACCCAGCTCCTTCTGTCTTTGATCGTACATCATTTTTTCCACCATGCCTCTGGTTTCTCCGTCCAAATCGCTCAACTTCGACGGTTCCGGGTTGATTTTTTTCGTGCTAATCTCAGGATCGGACTTCACTATTTTGCTCCACCAGTTCATCTTGTTCACCTGAAAAAAATAGAACGAGTAAAAAATCGTACGATTATTTTATAGTCAGTCTAGTCCATTGAGATAAAATAAAGAGATGCCATGACGATGGTAAAGTGTAAGCAACTTTGCATTACATTTTTACAAGGTTAGAAAAAACCCGGATTTTTTTAAAAAGGCCCAACCCGACGGGCTTTTTTGGGTTTTGATGGGATTTTTCGGGTATTTTTGGGGATTTTCAGTTTTTTCTTTAGATTTGATATATAGTTTCTGCTCTATCAAAATTTTTACAAAAATTATGACTTATTGCAAAAATAATAAAACAAAATATGCTTACAAAATAAAGAAAGCAACTTGACATAAATACAATTGGCATCAGTGCATCAGCACCTGTCAAGAAACAAAAAAGAGATATGACTTTTCCATTCAACCATTTCACCTTTTTGCAAATGCTATGGATCCCAAATACATGGGAAGACGTCTTACAGAGGAAGAAGAGGACACCCAGTCGAACAATGGGTTGCATCGAATCTTTCGGATGAGTTTTTGGCAGTGATGTTATCGTTCAAAATTAAGGATACAGATATGTTTCCCGCAACACTTTTCAAAGAAGAACTCCTCAACAAAGAAATGGTAGAAGCTAATATCAATAAAAAATGAATAAAATACCAGATGAATTTTGTACGTATATGTTATCTTTGTTCTCATGTCCAGCTTCATCTGCATCTATTGAGCGGATTTTTCTTCATATGGATTAATATGGACTAAGTTTCGAAACAGATTAGGTGCCGATAGAGCTGCAAACTTTGTAAAAATATATAATCATTTAAGAACCAAGTGTAAGGAATGTGAATGTGACGAAAATGCAGATTCGGATTTTCCTGATAACTAATATATGCTTTGTTTAACAAAAAACTTGTTTATTTTTTTATTTCTCTATATACCATATTTAAAATAAGTGTTTTGTTAGTTTAGTTTCAGTTTCTCTCGTTTTGTATTCACCTACTACTTACTTGATGTTATTTATGATAGTTTCTGTTTTTATTTAGAAATAAATATATGTATATGACCTTCATTCAACTGAAAATTTGCTATTTTTGAAAAAAACACAAAAACCCCAATAATAGTTAGTTTTATCAATTGAAAAAACCCGAAAAAATCCACTGGGTTTTATAACATGGGGAAATTCTATGCCAACCCTGCATTTTTATGTCATATGTCAAACTCGAGATAGTCCGTTTTGGTGAGAATAAATGCCATTTATTTTTAAATACCTTCATGTAAATGATATAAAATCATTTTCAATCCGTCAATCTTCAAATATAAAATTATTGACTTTAAATAAATCAAAGTCGCCATTTTCATTACTCTTTTCCGTCACTTGAAGTGCGTTCATTTGTGCATCTACCGCAAAATAGTGTTTATGTCGTCTCTACTTTATTCTATCTCGATGGTCTAGACTTAAATGAGGGAAAAACATTTGTCATTATCAAAGATGTAGGACATAAAAATATCTGTGAGCCACGTGATTCATGTCAATGTGCTGCATTAGTGTGACATTAGTGTGACGTCAGTGAGCAAAACAAAAACAAACCCCTCTCATTGATTTTAACATGAACATTTAGAATTTTAATATACCAGCGATGTACGGGCACTTACTGACAAACCAACAGATGGATTTTGTTAAAAATTAGTAAATAACTAAATTTGAATAAAAAATTCTCATATTTTAATCCTAAAAATAAATAATGAAAATCAACAATGTTGTTTACAAAATTGTTTGCAAATATTGTAATTCTGTTTACATTGGACAAACAAAAGAGTGGAAAATCATAAAAATATTTCATATAATAATGACAATGACAAATTGTTTTTGTTTTTAAAATGGCAATTTTAATGACTATAATTTAGCCGTTTTAAGAAAAAGGACTTAAGAAATGAGTTCTTGGTGTTTTTCATAATCTACGATATTATATCTATGTAATGACTATTTTTTTATCTGACCCATAACACGAAGAAAAAAAAATTGAAGTAGTAGTGGCCGTGGATGGCGTAGATAAATTATAGTCCACGTCTATTTATAGCTTTCATACGGCTCTATTTGACTTATTCCAATCATATAATCTTGCAGTTCGTTCCTGGCGTTCAATATATTTTCCGCTAGTTGATGCTACTGGCTAACAGGGCTAAAACGTATTCGGGCTGTTAGATCGGGCAATGTCGTAGGTCTCATATACGGAATTTTTATATGCCAGAGAACTCCGAAAATATTCGTCTTGCTCCTGTCTAGACAATGTGTACAGTCTAAACAGTGAGTCTGTTTATTGCGTTATCCGAGATGCTATCAGATAAAAAGCAATATGGCCGCTTCTATAGTTGACGCGCCGAAAAGATGCATCAACAAAACTGCATGATCAACATGTCTTAAGGGCTGAAACCTCCATTGACCAGTTTATAGGCCAGGAGCAGATTATTATAGTAGATGAATCGTACATTTTTTTCAGTCGATGGTCGTACAGAAAACGGATAGCTTTGAACTGATAAACTAAAATACTGGCCTAGTCGTTGGCTTTTTATCTATTGTTGACGATCTTCAGATGGCAATTGGACACTGATTTTAGGTTGATATGCACGTGATCACTTCATCTCTTCGGCGCAGCGAGACACAAACTTCTTTACCATCATTATTTTATATGCGACAGTCGTGATTTTTTGTTCTGTATTTTTGAACAATATAAAGTTATTTGAAAGACCAGTTTTATGTTAATTACTTTTATTGAATCATATATGTCTAGTCAACCGTTTTCTCCTCATATTTCGTTGTTAAAGTCGTTAGCTTGTTTCTAAAAATAGTATTTTTTAAAACATACCTACCTACCGCTTGTTATGTAGCAAAATGTGGAATCTATGAAGATTGCGATGTTAACACAAGTACATAGATTTAGATAAATAAAGGCTAACTTAGAGAAATACTACCAAAATATATTGAACTTCAGAGACGAACTTCCAGATTATGTTTGAATCATCTATACAGTGCTTTGGTAAGTTTTGATAAATTTTATACAGGGTGTCCCGAAATTAGACGGTCATATTTCAACAGCGTAATCTACATCCTAAAATAGAAGTAAAAGTTCACATAAACATAGGTCCGAAAACGTTTCGTTTTTGAGATACAGGGTGTTACAAGTGAAGTCCTGATGGCACATTTTTGTAATATTTTCTAAAATTTCTTTAGCCACCGGTTTTCCAAAGTTAAAAATAAAATTTCTGATTCCACACTTCCACAGGCCTACTAATTATTGTTTACACTTTCGAATAATACAACATCAATTTATCATGAAATTTTCAAATGCTTTTCTCTTGAAAATGGTGCGTCCTAGCGAGATACAACGAAAGTAGCTTTATTATAAAGAATATATTGAGTTTCCAAATTTTGTAGTCAAAAATGTTAAAAATAGACAACAAAAAAACTTAGGGCAATTTAATCCTAAGCCTCTCCCCTAGTTTACCCACCTATGAAGATGATCAAAAACTGGCGTTTAGTCCATTAAATAGAGCGGAAAAAGTTTTGCATTTGTACCAAAGTTCACTTAGTTATCTTTAAAAGTTTAGAAAATATTTACAAAAATCTGTCATCAGGACTTCACTTTTAACACCTTGTATCTCGGAAACAAAACGTTTTCGGACCTACGTTTATGTAAACTTTTACTCCTATTTTAGGATGTAGATTACGCTGTTAAAACATGACCGTCTAATTTCGGGACACTCTGTATATCTTATGCCTTTAAAAATTAGCCAGCTCCCTGTAAATTAAGCCACGAGCCTCCACTAACGTATGTGATGCTTTCAATAATATCAATATTGCATATATCTTTTTAAATAAATTTTTTGTACTTTCGTCTTTCTGACAAGTTTTTAAAGTCTGAAATATACCGGGAATAAATCAAAAAACAAATAAAAAATGTTAATTATGAAGTAAATGTTTAAAACTAATCAAATTTGTACAAAAAAATTCGCGTGCAGCACTGTACACGTGAGAGAAGTAAAACTTATTAACTCTATCACATTCTATCCCACTTTACCATACTCTATCTTACTCTACCCCACTCTACCTTCACTCTACCCCACTCCGCATTACTCTACCCCACTCCGCATCACTTTACCCCACTCCACATCACTCTACCCCATGCTACACCACTACGCCCCGCTATACCCCACTTTACACTATCCTACTCCACTCTACCTCATTTTACCCCCACTCTACCCCACTTTACCTTACTCTACCCCCACTCTACCCCACTTTACCTGCACTCTACCCCACTCTACTTTCACTCTACTCCAGTTAACCCCTACTTTAACCCACTCTATCCCAATTTACCCTCACTCTACTCCATTTGCTTCCCTCCGTTTCGTCTCCACTCTACTCCAATTCACTTTTCTCCGCTCTCCTCTCTCCGCTCAGCACTCGCTCCGCCTTGTATCTTTCAAACAGAAAAATCGTATATAAACCCTTAAGGTCAATGTTCTTTTAATTTCATGACGTTACTATGGTTACAGGTGTAACGTTTCATGTCCTTGAAATTTTACTCTCCATTCTCGCCAAATATCGGACCACTGCCTACTCGTTAAAGAATCGAACCGCGGCCTAAGAAGTTTTACTTCGAAAATATCTTCACATGCGGCTTTTTTATCTAACAAAATTTTAAAATTACCTAAGCTCTAAAGCAGCATGTAACATTATTTTCAGGTAAATCACCTATTTCTAAGAAAATATTTTTTAAAGTTTAAAGCTATGGATAGATAGAAAATAGGAACATTGTAATGTTCCTATAATTTTTCAAAATTAAATTTTTTCTCCAAATCAGTGTGGCACAGCTGAGAACAGTAGCATGTCCCCCCTATTTTCTACACCAATGACTAAATTATATATTTTGTCTGTTTATTTTTTTTAATAGTAATAGAAATCATACCTTTTCAAAAGTGAATAGCAACATTTTCCCATCCTCTATCACCCAACTGGACTCCTCCAACTTGATTTCGTGTAGAAAATCATCGTCTATGATCGGCGGTTGACCCTTAATGCCGCAAGTCAAGTGTTTCTTCGTCATATTCACAATCAGATCCTTCTGTTTTACTCTGAAGCTCGCATTTAAAGGTACCCGTAACTGAAACAAAAAAAAATATTTAAAACTTTCTACCAAATACAAAGAAATATTAAACGGTGTTATCAAAAAAGTAGAAGAAATCTGCCGTCCTTTTCGTACTAGTTACTAGTAACAACCATTCCCTTTGAGCTAGTTGTGAGCTTAGAAATTTGCTGTTTTGCTTTTTTTTGTCAGTTAAAAATTAAAAATATTTCTTTGTTAAATTTCTTCCTCATAAAATTTCTATTTATTTTCTCTTCTTCCCCGTTTTTTTTTCTTTAAATTTGAATATTAATTCATCTTCTACAAAAAAATCTTTATTTTTATTATTTCGTTACAAATGAAGTTAATCATATGTAACTAACAATACAAGAAAGTAGTAATACTGGTTGCCTAGGTGTCATTAATTTTGTACAAAAACACAATTTCTTAAATGATCTAGTCAAAATTATAAAAAATATTGTAACCAGTTTCATAAATAACTACTATATTGAACTTGCAACAAACTAAAGTTAGCAATAATGTAAAACATGACTAATTTAGGCCGTTTTTATGACACCAATTTATACAATTTTGAATTAAACGTTCACATGTCCATCCCGTAAAAAAAAATTGAATAATACGAGTCGTCTATGACCTACTCCAGCAATTATTAACTAGAACTAACCAACAAACAAACAAACAAACAAATAAATAAATAAACAGGACAGGAATCGTAATAACCTGTAATGTCTCTATAATAATGGCAATTGATTATGACACACCATCTTTGATTCTTGTGTAGTTAATGTACGTGTGTTTGTGTCTGTGTCGAATTTGCATGTGCAATGCTATATAAATGCTGGCCAGATAGATAATACCATTATACCCATTAACCTTCGTGTTTAAAAAGAAGAAACCTTGGTGCAATCCCAGGAACAATGGACTTTGTTAGTTTATTTTTGGATTAATTGCTAAGGGATTTTTTTTTCTTTTCGTTTAACAGCAATGGGATGTTTGAAATTGCACGGAACGATATACGGGGATGTTCAAACAATTAGTTATAGTAGCCTTACTTTTTAAACAGTCCATATGAAAGTTAATAGTAATTTTGCAAAAATTTTATTAAAATTTTAAATTTTGTCTCGTATGAATCGTGACTTGTAACAATAAATCCAGAATTTAAATTTTGGTGCCAAAGATAGGCAAATCATTTATATCAACCATCGGAAGTATAACAGACGTGTTGCAACCAGTTTAATTAACACTCTTATGAATATTCATAATCCAGAATCAGAAAACTTATTAGACAAATATCTTACGTCATAGTGCAAAACGAAAAGCTGAGGAACTCAATATGTTGTTTGAGATGTACCTACTATCGTGTTGCAACCAGTTTAAATATCAATCTCATGATTATTCATGATCCAGAATCAGAAATATCTTACGTCATAGTGCAAAACGAAAAGCTGAGGAACTCAATATGTTATTTGAGGTGTACTTACTATTGTGTACTATTGGTAATCGGAAAAAATGATCAAAAAACAAAAGGTCGAAAGTGAGAAGAGATCGAAACAAAAAAAGATCGAAATCGCATACGATCGAAATCACAAGTGTTTGAAAGTATCAATTATCGAAATTATGATATACAGGGTGTTAAAAAAGAGTGTTAAAATATTTAAAGAGGTAACAGAATGGAACAAAAAAAATGTCTTAATAGTCTTAATAAACAAGACCCTTGCAAAGTAACGGTTTCGGAGACATGGTAATTATTCTTTTTTTGAAACATTTAATTGCAATTATTTATTACTCATTTATTATGTACAAATAGATTGGGCCAAAAAAATAAAACAATTTTTTTTTCTTAGCGGAACTATGAAAATATTGTTCATGACGACAAAAAAAAAATTTTCTGAAAGTTTGAGCCCTTAATAATAATATTAAGAGGTGCATCATTGCAGTTATTGATTTTTCAACAATATTTTCATAGTTCCGCTAAGAAAAAAAAATGTTTTATTTTTTGGCCCAGTCTAATATATATATATTCTTTTTTTCAAACTAATTATAATGTTTATTCCATAATAAGAAATTTACAACATAAGTACAATTAGAAAATATAAGAAGCTAAGTAAGCTAAAGTTTATACATTGGAATATGAAAGAGAAAATAAAAAACAATTTAAATAATAAAAACTTTTATGTAGAGCCATTGATAACTAGCTGAAATAAACAGAGCAACAGAACCCTAAGAACCCGAAGGTTGTGTAAAGGTTGTCGTTTTAAATATACAAGCAAAGCATTCAGAAGTTTTTTTTTGCTCACACAGATAAAATGGCATGGTAAATATCTTTTTCCATTATATTCAAAAAAGTATATCAATACAAGAATATGAGTATATTACATTTTCATTTTTTTTTATTTATTTTAAATTCTAAACTTTTGTTTATCAAATTCATTATTAGGGATTTTTTTTAGAAAAGTTCATATATTAAAGATGTTTCGTTCAATAGGTAATTTTTAAATATTTTTTAATCATGCTAAGATTATTTAAGTGGTATAGATACAATTTGTAAGTATCAGGTAGGCTATTCATTATTTTGCCTGATGAGTAAGAAAAACTCCTCTGGCCAATTGATTTTTTAAGTAATCAACTAAAACACAATTCCTACTTTTTAATCTAGCATTATATTCGTGAGATATATTATTTAGGATAGATTTGTTTTTGTAAATAAATATAATAGTACTAAACACAAACAGTTGCCTAATATTAAATAATCTACTTTCAATAAACAGTAGATCGGTAGGATTTAATAAAAGTTTATTGTAAATTATTTTAATAAATCTCTTTTGCAGCATTTCGAGTGGTTTCAAATAAATAAACGGGGAGCTCCTCCAACATGTATTGCAGTAACTGAGACGTGACTCCATTAGAGAATAATATAGGATTCTTAATTGGTTGGCGGTAAGTATGTTTCTTAAATACCTAAATTTAAACAATAATATTTTTAAAGTTTTTATAACTTGTTGAATATGATGGTTCCATCGTAGGTGTGAGTCTATTATAATACCTAGGTATTTTACAGAGTTTGTAGACTTTATAATTAAATTACCATCTGATGTTTGTATGGTTAAAGAATTATAGACTGGTAAGTGGTTTTCATAACTTGTGAAGGGAATAAAAAGGGTTTTGTCAAAATTTATTGTAAGTAAATGGTGATTAAACCAATATAATATTTTTAGCATGTCTCCACAAGGTCTTTAAGTCCTTCCCAAGTATGAGACCACCATAAAATTACCGTGTCGTCTGAAAATAATATATATCTTTCAAGTAATATCCTGTTGTAGTAAACCATTAATATAAAGCAAAAATAATAGAGGACCTAAAACAGTTCCTTGTGGCACACCTATAACTAAATTTTCTTCGTTACATATTTTTTTTTTTAATTTTTATCACCTGTTCACGATTCTCTAAATAACTTTTAATTAATTTAAGTACTGTTCCTTTGACTCCTGCTCTCTAAAAAGCTTCCGACAACCGTGTCGAAAGCCTTTGCAAGATCTAGGAATACACATAATATTGGAATATTTCTAAGCAGGAATATAGCTCTTTAAAACACAATTCCTACTTTTTAATCTAGCATTATATTCGTGAGATATATTATTTAGGATAGATTTGTTTTTGTAAATAAATATAATAGTACTAAACACAAACAGTTGCCTAATATTAAATAATCTACTTTCAATAAACAGTAGATCGGTAGGATTTAATAAAAGTTTATTGTAAATTATTTTAATAAATCTCTTTTGCAGCATTTCGAGTGGTTTCAAATAAATAAACGGGGAGCTCCTCCAACATGTATTGCAGTAACTGAGACGTGACTCCATTAGAGAATAATATAGGATTCTTAATTGGTTGGCGGTAAGTATGTTTCTTAAATACCTAAATTTAAACAATAATATTTTTAAAGTTTTTATAACTTGTTGAATATGATGGTTCCATCGTAGGTGTGAGTCTATTATAATACCTAGGTATTTTACAGAGTTTGTAGACTTTATAATTAAATTACCATCTGATGTTTGTATGGTTAAAGAATTATAGACTGGTAAGTGGTTTTCATAACTTGTGAAGGGAATAAAAAGGGTTTTGTCAAAATTTATTGTAAGTAAATGGTGATTAAACCAATATAATATTTTTAGCATGTCTCCACAAGGTCTTTAAGTCCTTCCCAAGTATGAGACCACCATAAAATTACCGTGTCGTCTGAAAATAATATATATCTTTCAAGTAATATCCTGTTGTAGTAAACCATTAATATAAAGCAAAAATAATAGAGGACCTAAAACAGTTCCTTGTGGCACACCTATAACTAAATTTTCTTCGTTACATATTTTTTTTTTTTATTTTTATCACCTGTTCACGATTCTCTAAATAACTTTTAATTAATTTAAGTACTGTTCCTTTGACTCCTGCTCTCTAAAAAGCTTCCGACAACCGTGTCGAAAGCCTTTGCAAGATCTAGGAATACACATAATATTGGAATATTTCTAAGCAGGAATATAGCTCTTTAACAACGGTAGATGTCGCATTTTCTGTTGATACTCCTTCAGGGAACCCAAATTGCCGATTTGAGATATTTTTTTTTTCGAGTATGTAGACTTTTTTCAAATATTTTTGATAATGTACTTATGAGGGATATAGGTCTATAATTACTAACATTATTCCTTACTCCCTTCTTAAAAACAGGGACTACTACTGCTATTTTGAAAATTCATTTGAGCATATTTCTGTTTTAAATATATTGTTTATGAGATGAACTAATAAAAGAGAGATTTCTTTCGAAATGCTTTTTATAGTTTCACTTTTAATAGTGTCTATACCTGGGGTCTTAACAGTTTTTAAGTTATTTATGATACTGAGAACTTCCTTGTTGTCTGTTGATAAAAGAAAGAATGAATTTATTTTATGTTACAGGTTTATTCGTGGGTGGTTATTTAATACATTCAGCTAATTTGGTACCTATACCAGAAAAATGAAAATTAAAA